ATTCCTTATTTGTTCCCGGTCTGTACATGTCTGCCTGCAGCTCCCAGCTATCCCCGGATTTATATTTCTTGTCATAGAAGAATTTTATCTATGAAAACATTTATCACGTTACATCCATGTGCATGTCTCTGAACGGAAAAAGGTTCTTCCTCCTCACTGCACGGTATGGACCGACCCAGCAGTATGGACCGACCCAGCAGTATGGACCGACCCAGCAGTATGGACCGACCCAGCAGTATGGACCGACCCAGCAGTATGGACCGACCCAGCAGTATGTAATGACCCTGTACCGACCCAGCGGTATGTACTGACACTGTACTGACCCTGTACCGACCCAGCAGTATGTACTGACACTGTACTGACCCAGCAGTATGTACTGACCCTACGGTATGTACTGACACTGTACTGACCCTACGGTATGTACTGACACTATACTGACCCAGCAGTATGTACTGACCCTACGGTATGTACTGACACTGTACCGACCCTGCGGTATGTACCGACCCTGCGGTATGTACCGACCCTGCGGTATGTACCGACCCTGCGGTATGTACCGATCCTGCGGTATGTACCGACCCTGCGGTATGTTCTGACCCTGCGGTATGTACTGATCCGGTACTGACCCTGCGGTATGTTCTGACCCTGCGGTATGTTCTGACCCTGCGGTATGTTCTGACCCTGCGGTATGTTCTGACCCGGTACTGACCCTGCAGTATGTACTGACTCTGCGGTATGTTCTGACCCTGCGGTATGTACTGACCCTGCGGTATGTACTGACCCGGTTCTGACCCTGCGGTATGTTCTGACCCTGTGGTATGTACTGACCCTGCATGTTCTGCTGACACATGTTACACAGACATGATCCACTGTTGTCACCATCAGGAAACCCGCCCCAAGACATGTCATGCCGCCTTCCCTGGGGTGAATGTAGACAGGAAGTGGCTGCCGGAGATCAGCAGAAATTTGATGTAACAAAAATTGGTGAGAATGTGGATTTTATGATGAACATGGCGGCTGTCTCTGATACGTTTTCATTAAACTTTATTAATACACCAATACTGTGACAACACAGGAAAATTAGATATATATTGTCACTATATATCCGTGGACTATTCATGTTATCTGAAATGTAACAAGTTTTGGGGGTTTTTGTTTCTAATCTCCGCTGGAGAGACTCTCCATATCAGCCGGCCACAGGGTCCCAGAACACGAAGGGTTAATGTCCTGAACCCGTCACAAGGACGTCACCGCGAGCCCATTCAAAGCCTAAAACGTGTAATTTGAAAAGCCGCTGCCCGACACTGAGTGTAATTATAGGCCTGAGGAGAGGACGGGCCGGCTACACCATGGCAGACGTATCCTCCATGGCGGCGCCCCGCGGGGTCACACTGATTTATATTGATTGATTTCTTTTCCCCGACAACATGCATTATAGGAAGAGTCACTTCCTGTATTGGGGCTCATTCACACTGACAGCTTTAGGTCGCCCGGCCCAACGCAAGAACAAGCCCATGTGTACGGCTGTATGGCTGAGAAAAGTTGGGCATGTTGAAATTTTGCTCAGTGCATTCTGGCACATTGTAACGCATCGCAAATCGCTGCACCGCGTAAGAAATGCATACACGTTACAAATAAAATCAACATGAGTTCTAACGTCACATGGAGTGCACATCAGCGCACGTTCACAACACACATCAGTGCACATGTGTCATGTGAATGAGCCCCTCCGCCATGCCGGACCAAGGGAACTAAGTATTCTGGAAAGCTCGTTATTGTAGCCGACCCAGCCAATGAGAGGTGTTGTCTATTCTCAGCGTCAGCCAATGAGAGGTGTTGTCTATTCTCTGTGTCAGCCAATTAGAGGTGTTGTCTATTCTCTGCGTCCTCCAATGAGAGTTGTTGTCTATTCTCTGCGTCAGCCAATGAGAGGTGTTGTCTATTCTCTGTGTCAGCCAATGAGAGGTGTTGTCTATTCTCTGCGTCAGCCAATGAGAGGTGTTGCCTGTTCTCTGCGTCAGCCAATGAGAGGTGTTGTCTATTCTCCGTCAGCCAATTAGAGGTATTTGCTCTTTCTGCTTCAGCCAATGAGAGGTATTGGCTCTTTCTGTGTCGGCCAATGAGAGGTGTTGCCTCTTTCTGCGCCAGCCAATGGCTGACATGGTAAGACAATCCGTCGCTCACACTTGAACTCCAGGCTGATATAAACAATACAATGAACGCAGCTCTGTATTCATCGAGACATTGTTTTAAATGTGAGCACCTGAATGTGACCTGATATCAGCCAATTACAGTCCCTGTACAACAGAGCTCAGACCAGGGGAGGGAGAAGCAGCACAGGGAGCCAGTCAGTTATACTGCAATGCTCATGCGCTAAGCAGCATGCTGATCGGAGGAGAGAACAGAGTGGCAGAGACAGAGCTCATCAGTCTGCGGCTTCTCCTTTCACAGGCTGGAGGAGGGACAAGACCTGTAGATGTTACTAGACTGCAGCGGAAAAGAATTAGGTCTCTTCCCCAGCCAGACAGGTCGGTGTGGCAGAGGTGTGTAAATCTCAGTTCTGGATGGACAGAGATACGTATATAGGACACGCCAAAGGGTTTGTATCTGCAGTCGGCTTCCTGAGAAAGTGTTGCAGAGGCTGCTCTTGTCGTTCTGGGACGGGGTGTCTGGAAGAACATGGCCCCCCCGGGGGAGGGGACTAGATAAGTGATGCAAGAAGTGCCATACTTCAGGTCATGTTACCAGAAACCGTCAGAGAACAGAATGTTACAAGTGACTCCATGAGAGTGTTTTGCTTCTTGTTGGGGAATCCGATACAAAGGGAACGTTATGTGAGGAACCCGATGCCTGTTAGAGAGAAAACGCCAAAGACGGGTCTGATATCAGGTCACGCGTTTCATGGAAGGATCGCCACAACCAAGCCTGATGATTCCAAGGTTTGGGTGACCAGCGGGGTGGAGTGCACACACCTGACAATAGCTGAAGCAGTGTTATCAGACATTAGACCCCATTGTGTGTCATACGACTGTCAGGTGTGCGCACATGGAGCTGACCTCCATCCTCCCCTTCAGTCTCCTATCTGACCTCCATCCTCCCCTTCAGTCTTCTATCTGACCTCCGTCCTTCCCTTCATTCTTCTATCTGACCTCCGTCCTCCCCTTCAGTCTTCTATCTGACCTCCGTCCTCCCCTTCAGTCTTCTATCTGACCTCCGTCCTCCCCTTCAGTCTTCTATCTGACCTCCGTCCTCCCCTTCAGTCTTCTATCTGACCTCCGTCCTCCCCTTCAGTCTTCTATCTGACCTCCGTC